ACATGTTAGGAAACAAGACTCCAACATCATTTTTGTGACTCCTGTATTTTGCCTTAAGATCTCAGTTTGTTTTGAGCCTACCTTTCTCCATCTCCTTTCCATTGTATTCTCATAACTGGAGTGTTAGGGGCTGTTAGGCTGTTTTCTGTTTTCAGACTTTGGAGGACAGGCTACAAAAGCTGTTTACGATCTTTTTCACTCTCCAGCCAAATATGTTGTTCATTATATATAAACCTTTTGTTTATTAGGTAGTTGTTCCAAGAAGATTTTAATAGAAGCCAGCAGACACCAGATTTTGCTGAAAGTTTGGATCACAGCATATTTAGATATATTAGGGAAGGAACGTAAGATCTATGTAAGTGTGAAAAGCTTTGCTTTTTGGCTCACTTAATTCTTTTCCTGTGAATTTTAGACCTAGTGATGCTGATTTTCTCAAGATAATAAATAATGCAATGGAAAACCTGCAAACAAACTGAGCTCTCCAGTTACAGAAGCTCAGGGTTAAGAGGAGGGATATTCCAGGCACTTGGAATGAAACGTGAACACAAGGAACTGATCTGGCTATGCTTTGCTTCCAGGGTGGCTTTGAAACAGCACAAGCTGACCAGAAAGTACTTAGGGCTTTCCAGCTGAGAAGGCTCAGTGCATATCCAGTCCCTTGAAAACACTAATCTTGGTGTAGCATGTGCACTGGGGATGGAGAAAAATGTCATCAGAGCTGTGTCTTCCTGCTATTTCTTTTCAGGTGACGTAGTTTTAAGCTTTGACATCTGGCAAGTGTCAAAGCAGATTTCTATCTTCCTTAACATTCTCTAGGGTTGGGTTTGGGGACTGAGATTCAGAGAGGCAAAACTTGCCTCTTGACATTCTCTGTCCCTGCTTTGTCAAACATAAAGCATACCCTGAATCTCACCAAAGAGAGGTTGGGGAGTGAAAGAACAGCAGGACTAAGCTGGTGCTGTGCAGGTGACTAATATAGTCACAGCATCCACTCCTGAATATCTCACTCCTATGCTTTTTTACTACCATAATATAATAGCATACGTGCAAAAGGGATCCTATCTTGTCTCCTTTCTTTATGTAATTGACTATTGCTAGGTATCTGGGTAGATGAAACAGAAATCTGTTAGAAAAAAAAATATGTTAATAGAAGCTTTCTTCACAGCTGAAGCTCTGAGTTGGAATCCTGAGAGAAGATGGTGTACTGATTGCCAGCAGGGCAGTAGGTTGCTTCTGTGCAGGCCATGTGTTCGAGCAAGCAGCAGCATTAAACATCACCAGAAAGAACCAGAGATCCCAGCATCCAGATTTCCTGCTTTAATTCTTAGGAATTGTGCAATTGCAGAGAGCACTTGGAGTAGGAAGCATTGGATTAGGGTATACGTTTTGACCAAATTATCTGAGCTTTTTTAATTTTGTTATTGTTGTTTTTAAAGCGCATATTACTTTTGTTATCAGGGTAGGAATTCAACCTTTTAGATGATATTATATCCAGTTTTTGCAGGGCCCAGCAACCCGATGAGTTTAGTGTATCAGAAGTTAGCTGGTGCAACCAAAGTGTCCTTTTGGGACATTTTTTGGGGTTTGGGAATAACATTTGTGTTAGAAAACAGTTTGGATTTTGTGATGTACTGCAATTGTGAGAAAAATATTGAGAAGCAGAGATTGTAGAAATGCTCTTAGATAAGTTCCTCTTTAATTAACAGGATTTAAGATGAAGCTTGTACTGATTTCAAAAACAGTTCAAGAAGGAATTCTTTTGGAGTGAGAGAGATTTTATTTTAGATAATTAAAAAAAAAAGAACAGAAAAAGTGATAAACCAGTATGTGGAATCTCCATCCCTGTAGCTGTTCAGAAGTTGTGTGGAGTGTGGTCCTTGGCAGCCTGCTCTAGGGAACCCTTCTGAAGCAGGGAGCTGAACTAGATGACTTCCAGAGGTCCCTTCTAACCCAAACCATTCTGTGATTCTTAAATATCAGTACTATGAAAACCCAGTATCAATAGTGTTAGCATTCAAATTCATTACTTGTTGAAACGATTCTCTGCAATTCAGATACAAACTTGTTTTGAAAGTTTCCTTCTGTGAAAAGTGAATTTCTTAGGAACTTTCTGCCTTCTACCCCAGTTTGGTATGATAATTAAAATTAGCATTTGATACAGAGTGCTAGCTGGAATACAAACATTACTGTACCATCATTCAACGTGGCCGAATGTTACCTGATGACGTGGAAATGAAAATGATTTTGCAGTGGCTTCTAATGAAGTCCAGTGTTTTTAATATGTAGAATCCATAGCAAGGTCAGAGTAGTAGTCTATGTTGCTTGAAATAAATTGATCTAGGTTTGTTATACTGGTTCTTTTTGTTGTTTGGTTGGTTTTAAATTCATATTTTTCTAGTATTTTATGTTTGCTATTTACAATTGTAAGAAGGCAAAGCACAGTATAGCTGCCTGGCAGCAAGTAATAAATATATTGTCAATAATCTCTGTTCAATTAAATTTGCTTAATCAAAGCTCTTAACTAACCTTGATGTCTGGTGTCTGGAGCGCAAGTCTTATGGGGAACAGTTGAGGGAACTGGGACTGTTCAGTCTGGAAGAGAGGAGGCTCAGAGAAGACCTTATGGCTCTCAACAGCTCCCTGAAAGGAAGTTGTAGCGAGCTGGGGATCAGCCTCTTCTCCAGGGTAACCTGCAATAGGACAAGAGGGAATGGCCTTAATTGTGCCAGGGGAGGTTCAGGATGGATATTAGAAAGATTGTGACACTGAGGGACATAATTTAGCAGGTGTGGTGGTGATGGGTTGATGGTTGTTCTAGACGATCATAGGAGTCTTCTCCAACCTTAACAACTCTGTGATTCTATGCTAAGGCACTGGAAGAGGTTGCCCAGAGTAGCTGTAGATGCCTCTGGAAGTGTTCAAGGCCAGGTTGCTTGGCATCCTGGGCAACCTCATCTGATGGGAGTTGTCCCTACCCATGGCAGAAGAGCTGGAACTTGATGGTCTTTAAGGCCCTTTATACCCAAACTATTGTGTGAGTCTACCATACTCTGTCATGACAGCCTGCTATTTGTTAAAGCATTATTACCTTTGTATTAAGTGATTCATGAAATACTGTGCTGCCCTCTTGAGGCTGTATAATATATCTCCTGTGGAGCTTGAGGTTTTTTATTGCTGCAGAGAAAAAGATATTTTAATAGGATCTGTTTGTTTTTTTTTTTTTTAATGAAAATAAGCAGATTAGGCATGAGCATTTCAAAGCAATCTCTGTGTTTTAGATGTCCAAGAGGAACTGGGCCCTTGCCAAAGTCCATGTCTTAATTTCTCCACCTTGACTCAATATATTTCAAGGATCATGTGCAAAAGTGCCAATGGTTGGGAGTAGAGTCTGATATGGTTGTTTGGTTACATTCTTTGTTTGGATTCGAATACAGGGATACTTGGCAGCAATGGGAGGAATCTTGCTTCTTGGACTTTGGTATTGGTCAACAGTCCTGCAAGAGCTTGATCTTGCAAGTTGATGGTGACACAGCATACAGTGACCGCTGGTTGTCTGCTGCAGCAATTTTGCTCCCTGAAAGTTTCTTCCACTTATGCATGGCATCTGATTAGAAATGGTTGCTTAAGTGAACTAAATGTGTCTAGATTGACTGAATGAGGAATTCAAGCAGTTAGAAGTGTTGCCACACAGAGTGTTGAGTTTAAGCATGGAAAAGGAAGACACTGTGTGTCAGAAATCACCCTTGATAGCTTTTTTAAAAACAAAACAAAAAATAAAAAAAAAAAAATAAAAAGGGTTACTACAGACACTTTGTGTAATAGTTTCTCTTATATTAATTGCTCAACATGAGACTAGAATGGCAATGGTGGGAATGCAGAGCAGTGAAATAGGCTGCCTAATTGCTCATTTTTCATTTCTTGCTCTGGGAATTGATTTAGAGTACAACGTGTCCATCAGAGACGAACAGAAAGGGACAAAAAGGTCCCATGTGTTCCTGCACTGCTGTAAGGCTTGGATTTGACATGATAAGAGAAGATGTTTTAGCCATCTGTCTTAGCTCCTGCTCCACAGTGCCTGTGCCATTCCAGAAGGTTCCTGGAGAAGATGAATAATAGCAGCTTGAAGCAGAAATATGCTGGGAGTGATTTCTAGTGGCAGAAAGTTTGGCAGGGCTCCTCCTTAATTGGAGGCAAAGGTTTCCTTTTGTTTTAGAACATTTGCTTCCTTTCCCTAAAGGTTGATTTCAAGACTCAGCTGTGTTAACATGATTGAAGCTCCTTTGGTGACATTTCAGACTGGCTGCCAATTTGTTGGTCATGAGGGGGGGAATTACTGACAGTAATACAACGTGCCAAAATGAGTATTGTGTTATAAATTTCCATTCCAGCTGCTCATAAAGAAATCATGGGTCCTGCGCTCCATCTCATGTCAGACTACCATGACTGAAAATTAATAGTTGTACTTCAGTGAGCAAGTACCCATGGAATGGCTAACACTCCTCAAAGCCACCCCTATTACAGGGGCTTGTACTACTAAGTGTAGGAGAAGCAATTATTCTTGATATCATCTGAAACTCCTTTGACCATTTGACACAGGAAAATCAGTGCTCTTATTTGGTATCTTCTAAAATATCTGAAAATGACTAATGGTCTGTGAACTTTTTTTTCTTCAAAGGTAGATATAAGTGCTTTTTAGTCAGTCTTTCAGTATGCAAAATTTCAAGGCCTCAAGAACTTTGCTTCCGTATATATATATATATTCAAGTTTTTTGCATTCTCTCTATTATAATTGGCACATTTTAATGAGTGGATACTCCTACAGTTAAGAAAAATTGAAATAAAAATTAAACAACAGTGCCTGTAGTTGATTATGAAAGAGAACTTCCTTTTTCACACCTTCTGTGGTTGAAAGCCAAACATTACTATTAAATACATATTTTCAGATTAGGAAATGCATTGTAACCATGACTAACAACTATGAAAAAAAGTAGAGAAAGAAGAAGAAAGAAAAAGCTTTTTCTTCAGGAATGAAATAATGTGCTTAGAAATGATTTGAGAAGCAGGACTGTTGACACAAAAAATGTGGAGTTGAATCCTATTTACTGACACTGTCATTTCTGACAAATGAAACTTTTTCATGTGGAGAGAACTTAACTGAGAATATCTTCTTTCCTTTCTGTAATTCACAGTAGATAGGCTTTCTTCCTCAAGGCAGTGTAGCTCTTCAGCTTCTTTCTTGCCTGACATTACACGCCTCTTCAATTGCATTGTGCATAACTTCGTAGAGACCTGCAGACGGAAAATGCTGTCATATATCCTCATGCCCTGGGGTAAGAATGCACAACTGTGGCCAAAGAAATATTGAATAGGGAAAAGACTTCCACTGCCTCCCATTCCCTTTGGTCATTTTGCTGCCATGTGTTCCTTTTTTTAGGGGCATGTTTATTGCAGAGAACAGTAGATAGAAGTGAAAGGAAACTAAGGGGGCATTAAAGCTGTTCATCCCTTTTTCTTGATTCCACTCTGTCAGAGGAGAAGATTGCACTCATAGTGAACATAAAAGTGTACTCTGTTAAAAACACACTCAAAAGGCCATCCTGAAACTGGCAACTAAATTCCTGATGTTAATAATAAGTAAAATGCAGAAAGCAACCTGCCACACAAACAAACCCAGAGGGTTTGCTGATGGATGTCCATATCTGTGAGTGCAGAGCGGCACCAAGATACAAGTTGTAAAATTCTGTGCATGTCACACAGTTTTCATCGGGCAACACATGGAAAATCCAAAGGCATGGTGATGGATGGTGCTGAATCACCAGAGCTCTGTGTGTCTGCACAGGTACGTAGCAGTGAGAGTGCCAGTGAGTGTCCTGCAGGAGATGAGATGGTTTGGGTTTTTTTTATCATTCTAAATGATAGTTGTAGCAAATGTGAGTCACATCCCTCCTTTTATGCAGACGTGCTGTCTACAAGAATAGCAGTGACAACCCAGACTGCACAAGCGCACATCACATGTGGGGTGGATGCTCAGGAGCAACGGGCCTTGCCAGAAATGCAATATCTTGTTTTCTGTCATGCAGTTTTCTGAGTTAGTTTGAAAATATTTTGATAGCAGAGAGTTCTGGGGTTAATTTTAATACTTTTGGAAACATATAAATAGCTTCTTCATGAGCAAAATTTCTGGAAGAACTCTCAGAACTAGGGACACAGTAAGAACTGACAACAAGTAGGTATTTTTAAAATGCCTGCCATGTATTTTGTGTCTCTCTGTCAGCTCGCTTCTACAGAAATTTGTTTCTTTGAGGTAAGGAATATGCAGGCAGTCAGTGTGTAACTCTGTAGGGCAGATACGCTCCTGCTGACATTTTGCCTGTAATCTCTGGAGCAGAGCCTTTTAGCTTTTCTGTAGATCATGAGATATTCCAAGTGCAAACTACCCAACACATCTCACATTCAAAAACTGTCGTAGAGCTGATATTGAGATTCATACACTTTCCATATTTACTTTATTGGTTTCTGGAAGTTCATGGAAGGTGCTAGCATAGATTTCCTAGTTTTCCTTTCATTACTGTCAAATTAATATTAAACAGGGATGATATTCATGAACGCTTCATTTTAATTTCTACTATTATCCTGGTGAAATGTCTGACTTGTGAAAGCTAAGCACACACAAGTATTTAAGTAAGAGCTTTAAATTATCTATGTATTTGTGCATTATATTTCATCCATTATATCCTACTGTCCTCTGTCTCTTATTTTCCTGGACTAATGTGTTACAGCCTTAAGTATTACCAGGAATGCTCAAGCCTTTGTATGTCGTAGAAATATGCATCAGTAAACAAAAGCAGCAGCTGTGAACTCTGCATCTACACACGATGCTGTTTTATATACTACTTTTCTTTTTAAAGTAAAATTACACCTAACATGCAGTTCAAAAGCCAGCTCAAATTCATTTTGCCTGAAGCCATATGACCTTGAACTCAGACATGGGTTTTGGGCAAAACAAGGTAGGTCTGGAAGACTGAGGAAGGAGGAAATGACTTTGATGATTCAGGAAGGACACTTGCTGGTGGTTCAGAGAGCACACATGGTCATTCAGTAAGAGCATGCTTTCACCTAGTGAAACTAGTGCTGAGCAAGATGGGAGGCAAAGATTTACTATTAAAGATGCTGGCCAAAGTTTTCTTCAATTTCTTCATTTTCTTCAAAGACTTGCATATTCTCTCTTGTTCTAAATTATAAATCAGACCTCTTTTCTATCTTTGCTTTTTTGTGTCCGAAGTAGAGAAATGCATCAGAATATTAAACAAAGTGACTGTCAAGCAGCACTGTGTTATTTCCCAGTAATAAATTGTTTCTGCCTAAGAATTAGAGGAATAGAAACAAGAAATTTGAGCCAAAAACATTTTTTGATGAAATCTTATACTGAGGTTCTGTGAGAGCAGAATTCTAATTTTCAGGACAAGCTCCTGTTAAGGTACACATGTATGAAGATGTATGCAGCTGAAATGAATACATAACGCAACTTGAGCAGATTTAACTGTGTTTATCTGGGCTTGTCACAGGTTTTGGAGGTCTTATTGATAGCAGAACTGTCTATGGATATTGCAAGCTTTTTAGCAGCAAGTGTAACATATTTTACATTGTTTGAGTAATCTTTAGATAAGTGCAATTAATAATAGTACTGAGATGCACAGTTTATCATCTCAAATTCAGTTTCTTGGCAGTGGGTCACTTTGTTTTGTTTCACTTTGCTACTTTATGTATTATTTCTCTTAAGTGGCACAACTCCAGCTCTTCCAGATAACCAGAGTTTAGTTCTGTTGCTTTATATGTAGGTCGGGCACTCTTGCTCTTCAGCTGAGATGAAAGATGGCATGCAGCAATTAGAAGGTGTTGTATGTTCTCCCTTAATCTGTCATGGGCATATTCCTATTAAAGAAGGAAGTTTCTGAGGACTTCAATTCTTAACCGTAAGCAAAAGATTGCAGGAGTGACAATTCAAAGTAGACTGTCTTTTAAAGAAGTTTCTGTCTCATGGAGGTAATTGGAAACATAGCTGGGAAGATCTTGCATGATCTTTCCCTATGGCTTCTTATTTATTCCTATCACACTGAGGTGGTAGTTGTTTTTTTCCATATATCTACATATGTGTATAGGTACGCATGTGCATCCATGAAGCTGGGAAATTAGAAGTGTAGCTTTGCTCTGAAAATGACTGCAGGTTGTACTTTCTTATCACTTCGGTCTTCATGCCGTGTGTATTCATAGCTTCTTACTTTAGATGCAGAGAAAGGATTACAGAAACATTGCTTCTAACATTAGTCACACTGATCCAACTCAGATAAAAATTAGGGAGCTGGAATCATTTTCCATTACATCAGCTGCGTTTCCTACAAGGTTCTCGATGGTGACATGTAAGCAAAGAACCTTTCATTGTCACGGAGGTGCTGTAGGAGTCACTGTGACTTGCAGATCTGTTCGGTGCTGGCAGTGTCAAGGTCAGTTCACTAGATGGGAAATTAGAGGGCAAGCGTGTGCGATGTCATAGGAGTAACCATTCATGCACTGTTTTAAGCAGAAAATGCTTGAAATGATAAAAGAATACTAACAAACTTGGTGTGTTTTCACGTTAAGAAATATATTATAAAGCTTGCATGCTGCTTTTCTTTTTCCTTGGAGTAGTCTTTCCATACAATTTTCTCTCTGTGTTTACGAGCCGGCCCTGGCTCAGGTGTGCTGAAGAAAATGTACTTTTCCTTAATTAATAAGTGTAGATGGCTATCTAATTATAATTTTGTCAGCATATGCAGTCATGTCAATAATTCACCACGTAAGTTGGCATATTCATTTTTTCAACAAACTAAAACCTGTATGAATATCAGCTTATCAGGTAAGAGCTTTCTGCAGCAAAAGTTGTTCAAGCTTCGTTAGAAGCAAGTTTTTAATCGAAAGTTTTAAATCTGGAAAAATGATTCTCTTTAAACATACATTTCAGAGATTGGTTCATGATGAAACATCATCTGTAGGTGACCTGAAGGGCATGGTGAAGAACAGACTTTTAGGTTGTTTTGGTAACAAGCATATCAGCAGCAATGGCCAAACAGGACATTTTGAACTTATAAACATTACATCAGAACTGTTGCTACAGATAACATGTTTGCTAAACTTCTCAAAATGAGCTGATAGCACAAGTCATCTCCTTGTGATCAGCACTAGGACTATTTCCTGCTAAGACTGGATAGCGGCCTGGTACGTTACTGCTTGCCCAAAATATTGAACTTTAAAAGTGAAGCTGTCTTTATTTTGTGTAAATAAGCACTAACATTCTCTGCTGGAAGGACAAAGAAAGGTTGCAAGCAAAGACAAATAATGGAAAACACCAGTATGTTAATGGTAAGGACATTTAAAATTAATCTGCTATTAAGGAAATATTACTATAATACTGATAACTATAAAATTCATACCTTTCAGCCTTTTTAAACGACATAATATGTATGTTTTGAATCGAGCAAAATAGAGCATTTCTATTTGAAAAGATTCTCTTGTTATGCTACAGGGTCATCTTAAATTTTGGAAGCTAAAAATGTACTAGATGTAGTGCTCTGTGAAATAGGATAGAAGCTTGTTTGGGTTTTACTGTGTACTGTTCATCTTCTCACAGATTGCTTCCTGCAATTTTGGAAGCTTGTGAAAACTAGAAAAAGACTGTGTAAAAAAGCCACCTTAGGAGGGAGGAGGTGAAAAGAACATGGAGAAATACCAACAGAAAAGCAGGCCAGAGCACTTGCCTGCATTTACAGAAGGAAGTAACTTGAATTCGTAGAGGTATTCTTGTAAAAGTTCTGAAGTATTAGACTATTCCTTAGATTTTCAGGCTAATTTTCAGTGGACCATCACACCAGATTGAACTGTTATGACATTGTTTGTACCAAAGATTTGTCTGGAAACTGACATAATCAGACAAATAGACCAACAGTCACATTGGCTAATGTTACTAGAGTTACAGAACAGAAAAGAATTAATATTTGGTATGAAGAAAAGTGCCCCCTATGCTTTTGATGGTAGCGCACAGCTTAAATGCTACTACTGTCTGAACCTTATGCTTGAAAGCCTACTGAGGAAGTCTGTGCTCTAAGCCTGAGGCAGCTCTACGTCAGTGCAAGCATCAATTCAATATTGCTAGTTTTGTATCAGAACTTGGAAGTCTTGATAGCAAAGCAAAATTGAATATATGTGCACTGGTTTTTTAAAAGGAAAATAGCATGCATTCCCAGACCTGCAAAAAGGACATACTTCTCATAAGTTTCCTCCAGAAAACCCTTTAGCCAAAAATGTGCTGAATTGATTACAGAGTTACAGTGTTACCTCTGAAGGCACAGGAGATTCATCTCTACGTTGTGTTCAAGGTGTCACTCTATTAATCTCTTCCTTACAGCTGTAAATGCTATCTTGAATTTTTCTGCACTTACAGTTATCCATTATTTAACTAAACGTTATGGTCAGAAAAATCAGAGTATTTGCATTATAAATCCTATCATACTTAATACATTTTGCTAATGCTAGATTTGTGTGTAATTCAGGTTTTCAATTACACTCAATCACATCATTCCAAATAATAGAGATGATTAGCAAGGATATAAACACTGCATATAATGAAAAAGTGAGAGAAGGAAAGCTAAATTGCAAATCCAAGAGTGGAGAAAAGACACCAGCAATTTTCTGTGATCCATTTGAAAGATCAATGTATATGCAAGGCCTTATTTTGAGAAAGCAGCACTGAATTTTCCCACTGTGCCAAGAAGATCGATAATCGTTTCTAACTAGTTGGGCGAAGCCTGAAAAACACCTGTACTTTTACAGAAGTGCTGTCACCTTCCTTGCCTAGTTGAAAAGAAAATGAGAACAGTTCCATTCTAAGAAGGGTTGTGGTTTACTTTTCATACTGCCTCCACCAAGACCAGCTGTGCTAGAACTTATGGTCAATAGCACAACCATTAATACAACTATAATAAAACTTACAATACTGCCTTTACAAATACTTACAAGTAATAGATTTGGCCTTTGGGTTTCATAAAGTAGCTTCATAAATAGGAAAGCCTTCATAAAGTTGGAAAAGCAAGAAAAAAGTATTTAACAATTATACAGAATTTGATTCTTTCATTTAGAGAAGAATGAGGCTAATAATGAAACAAATAATATTGTAAGGTATTCTTAAACAAGAGGAGGAATCAATATATCAAATAACGGCAGCAGTCGTTGACATTAACTACCTTCTCATTTATGGATTCATGGCTTAAGATTTAAGGAAATTTCTTACACATCACTGAAATGTAGAAGTAAGTAAAAACAACATAATCACATACGTGACTTTATGCATTAAGAAGCATTCATAAGCTAGAGCACAGAATGTGCATCACCTCCCTTAAAAATAAACATTTCCTAATCATTTCTTATTTTAGCTCTCCAGTGCTACAGGTGTGTTGCTAAATCCTAGAATTTAGTAATCCAAGTAGTAACAGAATTATTTTCTGCAGCTCCCTTCCCATCTTTCCCCTCACCCAGCAGATTTAAAGCACAAGTTAGACTGCAATATCCTAACAGTATTTTGCATCAGGAATATTCACGCTTGAAAGTTATCCGTGCAAAATAATCCAATGTTCAGAAACCACTTAAAATTAACCTTCCTGACTTTTACTCCAAGCACATATCCACAGTTCTTGTTGAAATAGCCTTCCCATAGTATCCAGTAAACCGTAATGAAATGTCATATGGTCACCTGTATCATTGCATGATGCTATCCCAAGAAACAGGGCTTTCTCACAATGAGCCCGGTGGATCTCTGCTCCGGGATTTATACAATGCAATAAAAAATGACAAAAAACACAAATGCAAATGTATTTTAAAATATAATATTAGCATTGTCAACATAAAAGACTTTATTTACTGCCCCAGAAAGGAAAATATTCAGAATAGTGTCATTTGTTTCGGGGAATGCACAAAAAAGTTTCAACAACTAACACATAGTGTTTCTTTGCAAAATAGCCCTTTGCATGATGCTGAAGCTGAAATGTTTTTTGCCCACTGGTATCTACATACTTGTGAAAGAAGGTCATTCGTCTCTATTGTGACTACTCCTTTTGGATTACCTGCCTTTGTCTTTACACAAGTCAAATAGTAAATAAAAGCTATCTGTTGATATAGATTAGAGGTTAAACTGTTATTGATTGTCATATTTCATAGAGAGATCGTGTCTCTTACTGACCTTCTGAGAATTTCTTTGCTTGTGAAATAAAAGTCATGCATTTGTCCTAGACAAACCATTTGCAATGAAAAAGAAATTAGACTCTTCCTGAAAAGGTACAGGCTTGCATACAGAAACTTGCATACAGTGAAAAATCCTGATAAGGAGCAATTGCTTTGTTAGTGTTTCACATATTCACATCGTGTTATGTCTTTAATCATATTAGATGAAGAAATAGTAGAGAAACAACAGGTTTCCTCCTGCAGTTTTTTTTTTTTTGAAGTTATCTTCTGAATGTAGTCTGGAATTTGAAAGGTGTTCAAGATAAAAAAAATACATGGCACATTTTCATTCTCTTGAGTTTATGTAATAAATAGAGCTATGTAGATTAAAAAACAACAAAACAAAAACACCATTCTTTCGTTTCTTCATTTAAGTAGATATAGTCAGAGAAAAGCCATTAGTGTAACAGCCATCATGTAAGGTACTATAATTGCATTAGCAGCATGCTCACACACCAGTTTGTGGCAGTATGTCTGCAGCGTACCCTAAATTAAAACACACCTCAGAAGTACGTCTGCATGGGTTGCTGTAATTTTTGAAACCACAAAAGTACTTCTTGATTACACATGGTATGGAAGCTTCTCATCAAAGTTAAGACAAAACTGATCTGAACATCCTAAATTGTGAGGATGTTAGAAATCCAGACTAATTCGCCCATCGTGATAAAAACCAACTGGAGATAAGGGAAGGAAGGAAAGGTAAAAAGAAAGAACCTCATGCAAGTGTAATTTTCTCTTGTATAAATAGACACAGTCTTTTGTTTCCTCATCCAACAATGTGTCTTTCAGGCCCAGACCTGACCAAATTCTGCGCATTCAAGAAGTTTTAATAGCTGCTTTCTTTAGTACCCCTTCTAGACTGCTCAGCAGTCACATCACCTGTAAATACACTACAGATTGGAGACAGAGTTAAATGAAGCACTATGCATCCTGGAAGAAACGGTGTCTATCCAAGGCAAATGTCTTTCCTAGCCCATCTTCCTTGTCTAAGAGTTTGAGAAAAAGGTCATAGGAGGCAGCAAAGGTCCTACAGACAGCTGGATATTTATTGTGGTATGGCCCTCACAAAAACAGAAGCAGAGTACAGAAGGAAGTACCCTAGAACAAGCTGTGAGTAGACTAGAAATGATGAGCAAAGAAACTGTCTAACACTGCTTCTGTGTTATGTCTTTACAAAGGATTACACGATTCCATCATTTATGTGTCTTCGAGAACAAAAGATACTGCAGGATCCTGGTTAACTGCTGGTTAACTGACTTTACTTACACCTTCTTGTTTCAAAAGCAAAAATGCTTAGAAAGATTAAAATATGTTAAACTCTTCAGTAATATCAGAGTTCAGATCCCTTCTGCCTGGGTCAGTACCTCTGGTGTCTGCTGTCACTATTGGAGAAGCACTTTGATTTGTTTAACAACTCATTTATTCTTCTGCGGAGTAAACCCTCAAATCTCAAATTCAGTAAATAAGACCATACAGAATTAAGCTATTGAACAATGCTTTCTTTCAAATGTCTTCACAGCAAACGTATGAAAAGCAGCCGTGAAACATCGTAAGGAGAGGAAAAAATTGTACCATAAAAATAGGACAACCATATTTTCCACAAACTTCCCAAGTCATCTGAGGATGTTTATCTGGAAACAACCGCTGCTGTAAAGGCTGGATGTGACTGTACTAGCCTCAGTATAAGGTAAGAAAAACGTGAGGTAAGAGTTCGGGTCCTCAGTAGCATTTTCATGGTTTAGTTCTGTTAATAACTTCTAGGTAGAAGTTTGTTGAATTCAACTGTATTGAAGCATATCTAATTTGAAAAGAATGTCTACACATTTGAGAAGTTTCTGCAGTCATGTATTTTTTAGACATACTATGCCAATCTAGTACAGATACTTCCCTTTAGAATTGATTGGTTTTGTATATGTTTTGCTTCTCATTTTAATAAGTATTTTCTTGGAAAATCTGTCACTTTAATGACCAGAGTTTCTTTTTCCACTCTCAGTGCTGGAAAAGGTCAAAATCCCCAAAGCAATTGTTTTCTTGGCAGCACACTGGTGTGTATTTGTGCTTACTCTTGTTTTTAGACACTTAAGTCAGCATCTGAAGAATATATCCTAATTTTTGTTCAACATGCAAAGGATTTATTATTTCCTTGCATATTGTACTTACACCTTAGATTGAATCTTGCCTCCAAACACCTGCCAATGTTCCCACCAAATTTCTTGGTAGTTCATCCTTCATACAGTTCCTCCTTTGCACATCTACTTCTCTCTGGAGTAGAAAAAAAAAGAAAATTCCATCTCATTTTTTCTGAAGTATATCTTAATCTAGTCAAATACTACAAATCCTATACTGGATAGGATGGTGACTAAGGAACAAGGGAGAAATGCTTGAATGAAAGTAATTATCCTCATCTCAAAGTGGCGAAAGGATCAACCTTTTTGTGACATATGTATGGTTATTTGTTTCTTCTTAAGTGAATGAGTTGTACAATATCATTTTCCTTTAGTATAAAATCAATGCCCTTTGCTGGGAGGTTTTTTGCTATTTTTCTGATGATCCTGGTTTTGAAAGTGCACATGGAGTGCATTTTCTCTTCTTAATGAGTTCACTCCTGGAGGTAATATTAAACATATTACCACCTTGCTTAAGTCATTAAATTATTTTTAGTACTGGCTATAGAAGGAGATGAATAAGATTGGAAATTAAAGGAAATAACATTTTCAGTGACATTTGATATCCCCCATTCACAAGTGTGTATGCTAGATCTGTCAAAATACACATCTGTGTATATATCTGTATAACTGATTTTCAAATAGCAGTAATGGGCATCCATCTCCACTGTGCACCAGGAATCCAAACTGTTTGTCTCACCAGCCACCAAACAAGAAAATCATCATATGCTTGCCAGCTTGAGACTGAAAAAGTAAACTGAATTCCTCTCGGCTTACAAATAATGAAGTAAAGATACTGCAGTATAAATGTTTTACTCAAGTAATTAATCCTATTAGTGATGCACAAGCTGGGACAGAGTCCAACTTACCTGCTAGTTTTGCAGGGAAAAATATACTTTAATGAACAAAGAGAGATTACATGATTATAAATTTAGGCAAGGGGAAAAATGCAGTTGCCTTTCAGATGGTAGCTGTGCTTTAGAAAATGTTTCATTTTGGCTAAGGTAGCTTGGATTCATTGATGGCTTCCTTCTGGAAGACACAGAGGGAGTAATCAACTATTATGTGCATGTTTTGAAAGTAAAGACTACTAGAAGAAACAAATGACTTTTCGTACATAGAGGCATAATCCTTGGCAGCAGTCTAAATCCAAAAAAACAATTTAACCCACTTTCTTTCCTATAGGAGGGTCACAGTGTGCTTAACTGCCATAATTGCAGTTTCTGTCCCAGACCGTCATGAACTGCATAGCTATTAAAATGTGGATACATTTTAATATCAGAACATGCAGTTCCAGATGCAAAGAAACAAACATCTAAACAGTTCAGTCCAAAGTGCTTCTATTTACTGCTTGTACCAAAAAGGCTTAGACAAACACTAATAATAAAATTGCTAATTGCTAATATGTTCTGCCCAGAGTATTCCTGAACAATGTACTTTGAGTTTAATATAAGGCTACATACCCAGGGAAAACTTGGTATTTTTGTTTCAAACCTTGACAGATCATTTGAAATATGACCTTAAAATTCACTTGTTCCGCTATTAATTTTGAATCCGTATCCATATCTCAGTTAAATATGGAATTTTTCCTTATTTAACATAATACATTTTATTGTAGAGTTATTTCTAGTATAGCTCAGCCTTTCTTTGACCTCCAATACAGAGTCATATTTTACTGGCTGTTTACAGGCACTATGGTAGTTATTCAGATTGATTCCTCCTGATAACAGTTTAATGGGTTGTTTCTTGTCACAGTACTATTCACATCATAAGCTGTTTGTGCCATCCAAAGTAGCTATCTGAAAGTATAGAGCTTTATCTAACTGTCAGTTGTTCAGCTACTGTGTCCTATACTCACCTTGTTACTGCTGGCAGCCTCCCTAGGCTGGGAAGCTCTGATGAGAGACCAGGCACCAGTGCATCAATGCTTACACTCTTCATGTTAGACAGAAGTACATTGGTAGGTGCAAATTTAAATTTCTTCTGTATCAGCTCTCATATTTTGTTTGCTCATTTTCACATTGCATATCTGCATTCTGGTGAAATCAAAGTTAAGGAGTTTTTTCAAATCAGGTTTTGCATGTCTGTATTCTGAGAGCTCTGGATCAGTGCTACACAGAATATACAAAGATACTCCATTGCTGCCAGTTCTGCTTCCCAGCAGTAGAAAAAGAGGGATTCAGTCAGATGTGAATGCTTGGTCAATGTGGTAAATTATGCAATGCTTTCCAAAGTTAGGCAACGTCACTCTGATTAGGCACAGTTGTCTCTACATGCAAAGCATTAAAAGGACCTTTCAGATCCCTATTTAGTCACAGCAGCTGTTGATAACAAGTCCCTGCTAATGTGATTGAAGTGTTCATAAACAGTGGCATGAAAGTTGCTTCTTGCAGTGCTTTCAGGAAGTGACTACAGACACGCTGCTTATTTAGTAGCGTTCACCTGTTGATGCTCGTGTACATCAGAGAAACTTTTAATAAAGCAGCATTAATAAATTCCCTTAGGGGAATTATTTTTGTGAAGTAAATTCACCTCTTCATTTTGATATGATCACATACTTGTATTTTGTAATTTTTGTAACGACACTTTCAGGGCTTTTTTCCATGAGTGGAGTTATCAATAACAAATGCATAACAGCTAGGAGACAGCCTTCTTCTTAGTAAAACCGACAAGCAGGTGATAAAATAGTCACTTATATTGAGTATCAAGAACTGAAGAATTCTTGTTTCACCGAAGGCTGTTTTGCAAGAGTTAGAATTTGTTACAGGTATGCAGTGCACATTGCTCTGCTGAGATATTATGATTGAAATTGGTCAGCAAGGAACTTTGAAATTCCTTCTGCTTTTTTAATATATTCTTCTTAAATACTTAAGTGAAAGTCCTTCTTGGAGAAGAAGCCATAAAAAGCAGCCACAGAAGCAAAGAGCATGACTTAGAAACAGGAAAAGTTAAAATGATCCTTTAATATAAGTGCTGAAAAAAACTGCTGCAATTAAATATCATTTTTTCCAGAAAATTCTTTCATGTCTTTCATCTGAGATCCATTGCTTCCTTTAAATAAGGTAGAGCCAGGAGAGCATCTGGCTGTTAAAAGGGATAAAAAACCAAGCAGTGACACTGACAGGATGCTAAAGTTTTGTGATTGGTTGTTAATATCAGCCATGCCAAGGTAGCAGAGACCAGTACTTTTCGTCAAGTGGATCTCAGCTCCAAATGCAAGAGAGAAGCAGAAACCATTGCTGTAGTTCTTTCCCATGTCCACTGTGCTAAGTGACACAACGTGCTTTAGAAAATATAATAATACAACCTATTATTATTTCAGAGTGCCAGTTTAAGAAAAGTCTTGGGTAGATGGAAATGTCTCAGTCAAACAGCTGAGGCAGGAGTTGGTATAGAATCTTCTGCTCTGCTTTCTACTGGCCATTTCATGAGTTAGTGATAAAGAACTCTTTGGATAAAGGAACAGAAAGAGCCAGACCTATAATTTCAAAGGAATACTAGAATTTCCCTGAGCAGATTATTGTGCTTTTGTTCTCCTAAATACTCGTTTCCATATTTCTAAGGGTGATACAGTATTTCATGCAGTAATGCATGCGGGTTGACAAATAAAAAATAATGTGTAGAATTACAATAGATACAGCTAATAGAAATCACAGTATCTATATTGTTTTTCTAAGTACTACAATTTATGCTATTGAATATATTTGAGTGAACAAGGGATCATTTCCAGTGTACTAAATGATAAACCTCTTTTGTTGCTATTAGCACACTTGCTTATTTCTCTCTTAATTCAGGCATTTTGCTGTTATTGCTGTGAAAACCTAAGAACATAAAATAGAAGTGTGGTAAGGTATCTGTAATAACTGAGCTGGTAAGCAATGCACTCTGCCTTCCTGAAGTCATTTCAGTCAAAAGGACACAGCATTTTCCTAAGGGCAAAACAGGGTCACTGGTTTGTCAGATAATTTTGTATTTCCTTGCTGTATAGACTTATTTTCCTCCTGGAGATGACAAAAAATCTTTCTAAATGGCATTTTTTTCTGCAAAGGGATGTACATGTGAGTGCATTGAAGAACTAGAAGCTGGCATTGCTCTGTATAAGTAAATGCTTACAGTTGCTATGAAATCCCGTGTCATTTCAATGTTCTCATTATGAATGAGAGAATCCACGATACCATCAGAAATCAATTTTATTGGGAAACTGAAAAAAACCACGCTGACCTTCTGAATGCTTCTTCAGAATATTTGCTTTCCAGACAACTCCCCAGAGTATCAGAATTTCACGTTAAAAAGCTCTGCAGGTCAAAGTATGCTTTGAATTCCTTTGGCTCAGACTTTGCATGCCAAGCTGGACTTCGCTTTTTGTGACTCTGACTAGGAGCTGCCTGTCACAGAAAAGGGATAGGAAAGGATTGTAACCTCATAACTTAGGGAAGTATTTTTGTTCTCTGAACAAGAATACAGAGAAACCCCGGCAAACGTTGCTTTAATTCTGATTTTACAATCCTATATATGATCAAAAATGAGACTTACATCTTCAATTTATACACACAAAATGATTAGATGGGTCATAGAAATCAGTATAAAATTGGTGGAGAATTTTTATAAGTCCTATCTACACACCTTATGAATTGATATGAATCATAACTTCAAAGCCTTTGTCTCTTTTACTCAAGTTGGTGCAATCTGAGATGCTAACTTCATAGTGCTATAGTGAAATACAGTAATAGTTTTCTTTCTCTAGAACACAATATTATATATGTATACATACATTTTAATATGTACATTGTGTTTATATATATTTAATATATTCTTAAATCTTACAACATTCTCAGAAAATTGTATAATATAATCTGTTGGAGTTTTCTTGGTGGAAGCCCCTCAAACAAAGGAGTGTTTCACAACTCAATATATTATGTCACAGATGTGTTTTTAATTCATTTCCTTAGTTCATCCTGATTCAAGAGCGTGCATCCATATTAAGGCTAGTCAGCTCACTTTGCAGCCTTTTCTGCCTGCCACTCTGCCTCATCTAACTGCAGTGTAACCTTTCCAGGACAAATTCTGGCTTGTGATCTGATCAGGGTTTCTTTCACCTTGAGGATTTACCAGTTTTCATCAGTGAAAATTCCAGGTGTTCTGTGTGAAATAACATTTTATTTCTTCAGAAATAACTGATGTATGTTGAGATTGCATGATTTGTTTATGTGTTTGTTGCTTTGTATTCTATTTGACTTTCCTAGCAATCATTTTTTACATTCAGACAGTGGCTAAAAAAAAAGGCAGTTCCTCTTTTATTAGAGCTTTTTTGTGTGAAAGTGTAACGACATACATCTAAACATCAACCCCCCCATTAGATGCACTAGAAATTTTTAAATGAAAGCAGAGGCTTTAAATGACAAAGAAAATGAGTGTATTGTTAGTAATTTATTTCCTTAGATCCCATCTCCTATTCACTGCAGTGTTTATAAATATGATTTCCTTAGAGACAAGCACTACTAATGTTTGCTAAGTCACTCAGTGACATTTTGCTTCTTATTGAAGAGAGTAGATTTCTTCTACTCCCCACTCAAACAATTTCTTTAAAATATTCCCTTAACTGTGATATGTAATGTGAGATCTTGGACTCTTTTTTTTTTTTCTTAGTCTGTAATTATACAGGTTATTCTACAGGTTTATACAGGTGATTATACAGGCATATTCTTTCTTTAGCAACCCTTCTGTTCAGTGATTCTATGTGTTATTATTTTGATTTTCACCTGTAAAAGGTGATGTTACGCTCCAGAGGTGACAAAGGCAGCTCTGTAAAGCAGTCTGCACTGTTTTTGCCCACAACGCCTGCTGATGCACATCATAATCCTACATTCATTTTCTGACATAGATTTCTAGTCCTCCTGATCTGTTTTCTTCCTTAGCAAAGTTGTTAAGTAGAAATTTTGTCTTGACCTGATATTCAGAAAAGTGGCTGAGTAATTTCAGCTTCTGCACCTGAATTTGTTCTCGGAAAGACTCCAGGGAGAGTCACAGTCATATCATGTCTGCAAGCAGCATGCAGAGCCCAGCCAGCCCATGATGAGAAGCAGCTTCCATCGCTTTCAACTGCACGTATCTCTGCCAAAATCTGTAGGCTTATTTCAAGTAAAATTAAAATCATGACACACAACCTAACATGCTGATATTAAGTTGTTAGCAACAATGGTGCAAACACTCCTTGCATAGAGGTGAAGCAGGAATTAATAATTTATTATTTTCAGATTTTCATTATGAAATATTACCTCACAAATTCACAAAATATTTCAAAAATGGTTTAAGTGAATTTAATCACAAATTCAATACTCCTTATTTCTCATTTTTCCTCCTTAAAAGAAAATGCCTCAACTTCCTATAGTGTTAGTAATCTTTCTAATTAATTTCTCTAACTATTTAAGATTATTTTTTGAATGGTCTTGCATTTTAAGAGCTACTATACTTGATTTGTCCAGTAGTTCTCGCAACTCAATATGTTGTTCATGTTTTGAACCCAAGTTTTCATGTAACTATCATGCTTATTTTCTTGTTACAGAGAGTTCAGTGCAGAATATAAGCATGATTTGAAGGTTATGTATGCGAAGGGAAAGTCTTGCCAAATTCAGGAAGTAAATTAAAATAAACTTATTGAACAGAAGTCAATGTGGAACTGCCTACAAGTTCTCAAAAAATTCCCCTTTACTCAATAATTAGCTTCTCTTGAGGTCAGGTACATCTTTCCCATTCCCTTCTACCATAACGTTTTTCCTAGCAGTTTCTACAGTGAAGCAAGCACCTATTTATCTTCACTTGTTTTATCTTTACATCTGTTTTATCTTTACATCTGCTAATCCATTCCTGGCAGCTATTTAAGCATTATCCTTGATAGATTATGAAGAAAATAACTGCTGTTTATAGTAACAAACATTTTCAGGAACTTGCTGTTTACCTGTTATATGTTTTTTGTACACACACTTAAATGCATACTTTTGGATATTCTTTTATAGGCAGTACCATATAGAAACACCTTGTTGTGTATCTTCTCTATGAACACATGAACTCTGTAATTTTACCAGCAAAATCACCAGCATCTGCAAACCACGGAGGACTTTTTCTTTAGAGATGTATAGCTTTGCATGGAGTTCTTTGCAAAATGCTGTGAGCTGAAAGACTGTAATACAGGAATTAGTGCAGGTGTGAAGTGTTTCCTGCTCTGTATTTCTCATCTGCAGAAAGCCCCACAATCTAAGCAGCATATCATGCTTTCCCTTTGAATCATAGTTTAGTTGTTCCTTAGAACAAAGTGCTTCTGGATTTCATTTTAGCTGCACCTGCAGTCATTACAAAATGCTTTGAATGCTTTATTTTAAGGACAGTTTTTGTGAGAGCACACTCCTGAACGATACAAAGAATGGAAGAGTGAATAAATGGTAGGCAGCTGACATCTCTGTCCATCAGTCCTCTATTGCACACCCAAGTAATTCCACTCTTCTCCAAGCTAACAGCCACTCTGCTCCAGTGCTGCCAGGCAGGAAATCTGAAATACAGTCTGGACACTGAACAGCAAGAAAAGTGTTTGCAGTAAATCAAGCAAAGGCCTTGAAAGCCACTCCCTTGCTTGGTGTCCCTGGTTTTAAGGACTACAAGGCACGGACTGAGGAAGAAGTGAACAGTTCCCAATTCCAGGACATTGTTCAGCACTTTTTGTAGATTTAAGTCAGTTATATGCATCTAAGGGCAGAGATCATTTGATGTCTAAACTTTATATATTGCTATAGCAGAGCATCTTTTTCCTCTTCCATAAAGTTAGGCTCATTGTCTGATCTTTACTCACAATAAATTATTTTTAGTCCATCAGAATTAAAGTTAAAAGAAAGAAACTGCTGATCAAGGTTTTGCTGCAACATGCAGGAATATTCAGCCCTGGGCTGCAAAGGGCAAGAGGAGATTGCTGTTTATCACTATCACAGTGCCACCTTCGTCCTTTCTTCCCCATTTTTTTAGCTCTTGCGCCATTTTTTACCTAAAATCACAAGTCCTACAGGGCAACCTACCAATGCCAAGCTGGGTGAAAGACTACGCAGAACTTTTGCTGAGCAGAGCAGCAGGCAGGGAAGCAGGAGGGCTGCCTGTGCACAGGGCTGTGCGCTCCCTCCTCCTGGGTGGGCCTTGCTGCCTGGCTGAGGCCAGGAGCTGCTGGCAGCACCCAAGGGAGCACAGCCTCCCAGGCATTCCACAGCACCCAGCTGCTTTCAGGTACCTGCCTGCACATTGCCTGGGCTCAGCCAGGCTGGTTTCCCCAGGGCTGCCCTGCTTACTTTCGAGGCTGGGCTGCATAGCAAAGGGGCACACTGTTCTTGCTGCCATTTTAGCTAAAATGGGGGTTCTATTCGTCACATTTTTTGATCACACACCGTACTAGAGTGAAATTAGCTCTTTTTTTTTCTTTTTCCTTCCATCAGTGTTGCGACAGGTTTCCTGTGATGGTCTATGCTGAAACTTGCCCCAAAGCTTCCTATTGTCTGAAAAGAGAAGAGCAGAGAGAATGGGGGAAGAGTACATCCAGGGATCTGGTATTTAATCTCAGCTCTGTTACTGACAAGCAGATATTCAGCATTTGACTTTTTTGTGTTTGTGCTTTAGAGTCATCTTCCTTAAATTCATAATGAAGGCTGGTTGCAATATTGCAATACCGTTCTAGGCTTTTTATGAAGTTTTCAATCAAATACATTATCATAGGGCGTTGTTTGAGGAAGTCTTCATTACTATTATGAATATCACAGAATCACAGAATCGTAGGGGTTGGAAGGGACCTCCAGAGATCATCGAGTCCAACCCTCAAATATGCTCATTCACTATTTGTACCTCTGTGCTTAAGGTCTAAAAAAATATCTGAAGCATTGTCCTTAAACAAAAGTAACATAACTGTGTAAAATCCAAGTTTAAAATAATAATAATAATAAAAAAAAGATGATTTCCTCAGTAAGAAATAAAACTATTTGGCTAATTAGACACTATTTTCAAATGACAGTAATGAAAACGAAGTCTAGTCATTAATTTTTGTCAAATGTTATTATGTATTAGATGTGTGTTATACATAGACTATTCTATACTATCTGTTAATATTACATATGATGAATGTAACTCCATAACAATTTGAGTTTTGCCCTTCTAGGATCCTTGGCCCAGGCTGATGACCTTAATGCAAAGCTGCTGTCGGAATGGAAGAGAGACTTGGACAAAGAATCTGTGTCAAATGCACGTTCCATTTTTTATCTTACTTCTCAATATGTTACGATGTTCTACATAGCAAGCTTTTTTACCCAGAGGTTTTCCAGATAAGTATTTTTCAGAATGCATGAATAAAGAAGAGCTGATAATTAGGGAAAAAAACAAACAAACATATGTCCAATATTCTTTAGTATTTTTCATTTTACGAAATCCCAGAAACGAATGCAGAATATGGTATAAATTTCAAAATTGAAGTTATACTTCATTTTGAATGATTTCTAATCTTCATTTCTCTAGACTTGATTAAGTATTGTTATTATTTGTTGAAGGAAGGCAACGTGGTCTCCAAAATAAGCGCCGATATGTTGATTATAACATAACTGCATAGACAGACATAAATGTTCCCATGCATGTATTAATAAATACATTAATTTCAGTGTTAATTCAGTTCCAATGTCTTTCATGCATGTTAACTACACAACAGCTCCACCTCGTGGTTGACTAACTATTGCCTGAGTATTCGTTTTCAGCATTGTAAGAAAACCAGGGTTGAAAACAAAAATGCAAAAAAAACTGATTAGGAGAGGAAATTTTATGTATGATTAATTTCATTTCACTTTTCTGTTGTTGTTAAAAAAGAAAAACAACAAAAATGAAAAGGTGGTGGAAAGAAAAAAAAAAAGCTTGAGTGTTTAATATTTGCCTTTAGTATTTATCATCTTCCATCTAGGTGGCTAATTATAAAAAGGAAAATTATTTATATAAAAAACTATTGAAATTATGATATGCTGTGTTTCTGAGATTGTGAATTGTCTAACTGTTATGTTTTGTTTCTTCTTCATACAGATGTTAAAAAGTGATGCAGCTAATCAGCAGTTTAACCTTGAAGCTGCAATTAAAAATGTTGAGAAAATGTCCAATGAGCTGAAGAAACTAAATGGTAATTCTGAGTTCATCATCTAGGTATATGTTTAAAGTGTTCTTTGAAAGTGTTCTTTTAGCATGGTTGAGAATGGCTCATGCTTTATCATACAATTGCATTTTTTTTAATCTATTGGTAAAATACAATTACCTTCTTTTCATAAAACAATGAAACAATGGTTACATACCATTATTTTAGGTAAAAATCTGTTAGGCAGTCAAATTCATTCCTTTGCAGGGACAGTAATAGTTTGATAATGAAAATATTATGAATATGTTGATGCCAACATTTTTTATTACTTTGAAGTAAACAAAAGAATATTTTTTTGCAAGAGTTGATAGATGTACACTTTAAAAAGTGCTACATTCAGTTGCCATTTATTTAGCATGTACCATTCAATAATCATAGAATGTTAAAATCATAGAGTCATAAGAACCATAAATGGCTAGGGTTGGAAGAGCCCTTAAAGATCTCACTGTCCCAACCTTCCTCCCATGGCAGGATTGCCAGCCACTACATCAGGCTGCCCAGGGCCCTGTCCAACCTGGCTTTGAACGTCTCCAGGGATGGGGCCCTCACAGCCTCACTGGGCAGCAGTGCCAGCACCTCACCACCCTCTGAGTAAAGAATTTCCTATCATCTAATCTAAATCTCCTCTCTTTTAGATTAAAACCATTCCCCTTTGTCCTATCACTGCGAGACCATGTAAAAAGTTGGTCTCCTTCCTGTATATAAGCTTCTTTCAGGAACCAGAAGGCTGCAAGGAGATCTCCACAGGGCCTTCTCCTCTCCAGGCTGAACAAGCCCCACTCCTTCAGCCTTTCTTGATCTTTGTGGCCCCTTTGTGGACCCTATCCAACAGCTCTACATTGTTCTTGTGCTAGGAACCCCAGTCAGTGCTCTGATACTGCATTGCCCTTTGTCTTTCAGTGGAAAGCCAACTACTGCTTTGTGACATTATTTTGAATTTCAACCAACCCATGAAGGCCAAAGATTTAAGAGAGGCTGAAGAAAAAGCTTGGAGTTTGATGGATTAAGTACTACCGTTCATTTTCACGCATTGTCTTCTATTAATAGTTATTCAGTTTGAACTGTAAAATGACATAATGGCTTAATGCACTTGGAATACTTTTATCTGGAAATGTAAGATGGAAAAACGTCATGTAGCATATTGATTTTGAGAAATATTTTGAACCCAGTTTTCTCACACTAAGCATATTAGGTGTGGAACGAGTGGCATAATTAACTTAAAATGTCAGGAAATTTGATCTGATGTTTTTCCACACGTGGTTCACTCCTTTTAAACAAAGGCATACTGGAAGAGTAATAAAAGGTTTTAAATTACTTCAAGTCAAGGCGTTGCTCTTAGAGAAATGGGTAGGAAACGACCAGTAAAAGAGAAACTGCAGCTCCTCATTTGATCTGCCTTTCTCATTGTAAAAATGTTGCTGAGGAAAGAGGCCATACAGAAGATTACTTGTGGAGAACCAGAAGTATTTTGATCAGGTTTTGGTGGTGACTCTAATGCACATGGCTACAAGAGAAAGCAGAGTTTGATAGTCTAAATACCCTGAAGTCTTCTTGGCCCAAAATTTGAATAGCCAATATGTTTATATATTTCATTAGAACTTATTCTTGTGAAAAGGTCTGAATTTTGAGGTGTGTTTTTAATCATACAAACATGTTTATTTGAATAGTCAAATACAGACTTACTGTGCTGAAAAAGAAGTATTCAAAGCTACATTTTGTTATGTTGGTTTGATTTTTAAAGCTCTTTCTCTAATGAGATGCTTTAAAACAAATAAAACAATTCCATGGGAGGCATTTCTGGGTTATCAGATTTTTCAAAGGAATGTAATAGAACTACAACTCCCAGCTCATACAGTTGGTGGCAGTCCTGAGGGATTGATCTTATTTTGGAAAGACATTAAGACTGACTTTTCTTTCACAAGAGTGGACAGGAGATGTTTTTTAATATATACATGTATAGATATATTTTACTCGTAGTTGCACAGAAATGAAATTCTTTAACTTTGAATTCCAGCTGCTAGTCAAATATATTGGAAATGAAAGTAACATTTACAAAGCATATATATTTAAAATTGTATGAAATCTGATTGCTTTTTTTCTAAACTGCATGGAAGACAGTATCGTCTGAGTTGTGGTTCAACACACAGTTGACTTTAAAAGGGAAAATGTGTAACCTGGTCCAAGGCAATTCTTAAACCAAGATGTTAGCAGAAAACCAGAGTTCCTAGAAAATCTGGACAAAACAATTGAATGAATTCCACTTTTCAAAGGAATGGGAAAAATCTTTTGTTATTGTATTCTTCAGTGGTCCCTTCAGCTTTTATTTAAGAATTGAGAAAGGTTGTTGGTGTCTGTTGTTTTTTTTTTCTTGAAAAAAGCATGGAAAAAAAACCAAACAACCAGAAAGCAGTTATATAAGAGGAACCAAGCTTCCCTCTCTTTGTCTGCTTTCTAAGAGATTTGGATGTTGTCTTCCAATTAAGAATCACATTGTTGATGTGTCTCCTATACAGGAATGGTGGCTTAAATTAGAGTTAGAGATATAATTTAAGAGGAGTTTGTGTAACAGAGGAAAGCTTGTTCCTGAATGAGGTTAGAGGATCCCATAGAAGGCCTTCAAAAAAAGCTTCAAATTTGTAGGTAAAGGCGTTCTTGTTCGTGAGTGAAGTTAGAAGGCCTGAGGGAATACATACTTCCAATATGTCGGCAAAAACGTGTCAGCAGTGACTCATCAGCGGTATGGCAGGCAAAGGATTGTGTCTGTAGACATTTTGTTTCTCTAGAAAACTGTGCACAGACAACTTCATAGCTGAGTCACACGGACAGATCTTCACAGACAGCTGAGTATCCAGGGGATTTTTGGGTGTTGCTGGAAGCTGATGTTTTTCAAGTCCAGGTTGGAGTCCTAATCTTTACACAGAAATCTCCATAGTTAAATCTATTAGGAAGTAGATTGCAGAAAAAAAAAAGAATGCTGCTCAACTTTGTTTTGGTTCTATGCCTCTTTAGATAACTGCTGCTGCAGTTCTGATCTGAAAAATAGGTTGCTTTTTTTTTTTCTCCTATGAAAGTAGTGAGCTGCATTGGTATATCTTTCATGGGTCCCCTAATACTGTGTGGAAATCATTTTAAGATAATTTGTGTTTGTTAGAAGACTGTATTCCTCACAGAAAGAATACTCATGGTACTCTATGATTGGTGTACAGTAATAAATACACTGTAGGAAAACCCAATTTATGGAGTACTACATTTAAAGCATGACTTAAAAATGAAAACATCGTCCTTTTTTTTCATTAAAATTGAAAATATTTTTAATGAATTCTTCATTATTTTAGCTCCTGAGGTTTATAGGTTTTGGTAGACTTTGATCGTGTATGTGATCTTCATTTGGATTTCATTTAATATTTCCTGCAGCATATTTTAACACACACTGGTTTCTTGAACCTCTGTCTTTTCCATCAATCAGAAGAAGAGGCGTTCTTTGGAAGTAATCAATGATGTGTGCTACAGAAGAAAAATCCTGTGGGATGGAAAAATAAGAAAGCAATGGAGCATGTGTGAGAATTCTCAGTAATTACTGAAGTTATTATTTTTTTTATTTAAGCTCTAAATATTTTGCTGTCTAACAAGGTACAGTAAATATCATCAGAGCCAGTGCTTTTCCTCCTGCCTTAATTTGCAACTCTGTAGCTGAGTGTCTAGTATATGTATGAAGATGTGTTGTATAATTACTTTATGCAGATTTGACGTTTATACATGATGTTGTTATTCTGCTTGACATGACGAAAGTTCATTAACTTGACTCCTAAGTTCAGACAGCTTGGACTCAATCAGTACATGCAATGACCTGTCTGATGCCAGCAAATCCAATGCAGTATTACTGGAATTGAGTGAGCTAACAGTCTGAAAGGAAAGCAGTAAAGTTGTCGGGTATGGATTTGCTCCCAATGGTGTATTTCCTTTATCTGTTATCTTAGTTGTAAACAATCATTCCCTGACCAATTTGCTCCTTGAGTGCAAACAGAAGAATCTGATTTTGCTTTCAGCAGTAACATAATTGTAGGAATAACTCTAAGACAGTGAGCAGAATTCCAGTGGAGTAAGACAGCTGATAGATTAAGTAGTTAGGGAATAAGACAGGAGGTACTTTCAGATGAAAGGAGGCTGTGTAAAAAAAACAACACTTGTACCTCTTTTCCTTTCAAGCCAGTTCCTAACAAATATGTCTGATCTTGCTCCTGGTAACGAATCTGGATATTGTATACTTTATCCTTGTACAACACCATCAATACATACGGATGAGTGGTAGTTTTTCTTGAGCTGTCTCTTACTAAGAAAGTTCCATCCTGAAAGATGAAAAAATGAAAGATGACATAAATGCCACTTCTGGTTTTGAGCTGCACAACAACCTCAAGTAGTGCACTCGTGATCTCCTTAGTTTTTCTTTTTAATCTGCTTTTTTTCTTTTTTCTTTCATAAGAGTAACTGCACTATTAATGGAGAAAAATGTTCAGATCATTTCTTAAATGTTGTTATCTTTTAATCTGTTATTTCAACCATTTCCTGTCTGACACAAATGCAGAATTTTAGGGAAGGTAGGGCTGCTGTTTTATGAGGTAGATATTCCATTAAGGGAGGGTGCGAAATATCAAAGGCAAGCTTACACTTCAATCAGAAGAGAATTTAATTCCTGTTAAGTTCCAATCAGGCTTCTGTGTACAGACAGCTAAAAAAATGATTGTGTCTGTGTAATTTTGGTAGAGACACTGATATTCTCTGTTTCTTTTTCTCCCCCTCTGCTTTTCTTTGTTTCAGATTTAACAAATCTCCGATTAAAACACTCTGTCTGAAAGGCACTGGCTGTGGTCTCCTAAACTGGTCCTTAATACAAGTCGTCAAAATGCTGTATATGGCAACTTCAGCTCATCTATTGTGGGGCACCACAGATTAAACAGATTTCCCACAGTGATGGATGGGATACAGTTTGGTTTATCTCTACATGTCCAGTTAAGTCTGTGTTTCACTTGTTTGAATCTGTACTTCCTTTTGCTGGTAAATGTGGCCTAGAAAAGAGTAAGATTCATTGCATATAATTTGAGCCAAGATGTGGAATTTTTGAAAGTGCTGCATTGGTGACAAAGAAATATTTATTGAGAATGTACCATTTTTCCTAAAATGTTCAAGATCAAATGACTCCCTGGAGAGGCATAGTTTGCTCTCTTGGGCTATGGAAAACAACAGCTTTCGTGGCTGATTTGATCTCAATATCTAACTTTCAAGTGGGTGAAGATATGCAAGTTGAAGCCCCTACTATAATCATGTATATTAGAGCTCTTACCTTATCAAGTAATTTACCTTCACTCTTCCATGTGACTGCAAGGACATACAGGCAGGCTATTAAAGAGATGCTGAGAATCCACAACAGTTTAAAGAGTACCTTGTTTATTTTTCGAAGAGCTGCCTCTGCTTCTGGCCGACTAATGTAAGCAACATACCATTCATCATTTAGTGAATCCTGTATGTAGTGTGGGAGAAGATAGGGGAGAAAGTCATCTGTCAGTGAATTAGCTTGTGATGTTGACAACATACTAGTAAGTAGTAATATGGAAGTGTTACAGACCTAGCTGTATTGCATCTTCAGATTTTTCCTCTAAGGGAGGAAAAGCAACCATACACGTTCTCATGGTTTTCTCTAAACGTGACATATTTGAAGATGTGTGAAATAAAATGTGCCTACTGGGTATAACTTCTCCACTCATCATGGTTTTGTGGAAAGTAATTAATATTAATAAGTAATTGATTATAATTGCAAGTAATTAATAAGTAGTACTACCTTCAAGCAATTGTGCAAAACAAGTAATTGAGCAAACAAGTCGTTCTCTTACTTTGTTCTACAGTTTTTTTTCGCTTCAGTTTTTTTCTTAGTGGAGACAAAATAAAGCGTTAAATCTTGATGTAGAAAAGGAAACTGAAAGTACCTACTAACATCCTGACAATGTCTGCTAACTAGAAAAAAAAGCTTTGAAAACAGTTCTCTCAAGATCAGCATATTTGCTGTGCTTAGTTGTTACAGTTAATGCTTGTGATGCTTTTGTACCTCATCTTCCTCTGTGTTTATTTGGTGAGCAGTCTGTCTGCTAGGAATGGGCAACGGAGGTCTTAAATCAGCTGTGCCTCTTGAAGGAGATCTGCTGTTGTTGCCTTTAGGATTGCAGTACAAGAATAGAAAAAAATATTAAAACCAGGAAAAAATTACTTATATGAAATTTTGGCAATGCTTTAACTAGACTGTAGGCCCAAACTTTGTGGAAGAAAATCTGTTTAGATTCAGAATAATGCACTGAAACTTCCTTGTAGCTTCGAGCCATTGTTTGTGCATAAAATCCAGAAGTATAGGATACAAACCTTGGGGAAAGCGAGGTGGTAGTGAGCCACTTGCAGACAGGCTTCTAGCACTGTTTTAAAACAAAACAAAACAAGCTACTCAGTACAATATGTCATTGCTGTGCAATGCTTTAAAATACTGATCTAGACTGTAAGCCTGTTTTACAGAACATGGCATCTCCCTGGGTCCTATGAAGGATGAGAACAGCCTTCTCTTCATTTTTCATTCTTTCCTTTGATGTAAGTAGATCCACCAATAAATTGGAGCTCAGTGTCTGAGTATCAGGTGGGTAGGAATCAGTAATGTGTAAGGATCAATGTAAAAAACTACTAGAGTTTGTTAATTGTTCAGAGGCCCCATGTACGATATTACTCTAAATTAGGAAGAACAGGCAACAGCTTTCTAGCTCTTTCTTTTGGCTTCCACTTATGGTGTTGTTCTACACATGTGGATTTTTTTTTTTTTTTTTTACCAGTTTTGAGGAAAATTCAGCTTCTTATTAATGTTGCAATTCTGGATATGAAGCTACTGGAGAAAGTAGCGAAGGACCACTAACATGGTAGGGAATTAGAGCATGTCACTTATGGAAAAACTGGAGAGAGCTGGGACTGTTTAGAAAAGAGATTAGAATTCAAAAGGAATGAGATTTGCAAGGGGTGAAACAAACCTTTCAGCTCCAGGCACCACACCTGGCTTAGGTAGAGGCTTGATAGATTTTGATGGGAACGTATTGGAGTTGTATGGGGGCAAAGATATCTGTGGCACTGGTCTTTGGGGTATATCTGTGGAGAAGAGAAGAAAATGTAAAACTTACCTTAGTTAGAATGAAGAAATCCCATCACATTTCTGTTGTTTAATCAGATAAACTTACAAGAAGATTTAAAAAGTCCTTGATATTTTAGGTTGTAACTGAGAGCTGAATATTAAGGAAACTAAAAGGAAGATTAAATTAAAAATAAAATGGAGTGGACTGGGATATTTGCATTATATAAGTTATGTTTTGGACAAGTTGCAATTCACACTCTGCAACTGCAGTGCAGCTGAGGGAGGTGACAGTGTGTTCTCTATGTTGAGCTGCTTCTGAACATGAATTTGAGGTTATATTTTTAAACTTCATTTGTGAGATCTCTCCCATGTAATGTCCTCAGGCCTCAACTATTTGTAAAAGGGAAACAGTTTAACTGTTCTCTGCTCTGTTCTTTATGGAGTCTTAGAGGCAATGGTAAGTTATAAACATCTGGCCAAATGCTCTGCTTTAAAAACTGAATTTTAGGGACTTACAAAGAAATACAAAGAAATTTATAATCAGTACAAATTACATGAAACAAGTTCTGCTTCTGTTCCTTGGACTAAGTACCATTACACAGAACACAGCACCACCAGGGTCTGACCCAACATTCTTCTGAATACTGAAAACATGCCTCACTGTTTCATGCTGTGTGGAGATTACAGGTCTCTAAAATATGATGTGTTTCAAAGTGAGAAATCCTGCTGTCTTGTAACTAACTGACCAGAGGAAGCTATTAACTATTGATTTTCTGTGTTCTGTGGCTTTGCTATATAAATCTGCACGAGGTACACTGTAAGCATTTTACAACCTGTCAAGACACCATTGACTTTCTGAAATGGCTTTAAAGAAAGAATTCTAGAAACTTTTTTTTTTTTTTTGGTAGCACTAAGACAAAGAAAAACTTCACGTTTTTAAAGTTAGAGAAGAAATACTTACGTTCTTCTTCTTCCTGAGGAACCAAGAGAAAACAAATGTTAGCAAAATATTATATAGCAATAAAAAAAAAAAATATAGCAAAAATGTTGTAAAATAGCACGCTGTTTTACAAAACAAAGACCTGGAAGTCGATAAATTTTGGTTATATTATCTAGCCTGTCACTTTCATCTAAAATGCTGGAGCTTTGTCTTAATATAACACCAAAAAAATTTTAAAGTTTTTTTGTTAAGGTGCAGCTGTTATTTACAAAAAGTACTATAGAAGATGTTGACCCAATGCAACATGAACTTTCCTCATTCCTTAGGTATGTATAGGTTCTCAGAGTTATCTGAAAACTAAATTCTTAGGTAAGCTAAATAAAAATAATTTTAAAAATCCAAAAACAAAAACTCAAACTTAAAATAAGCAAAATCACCTCTCCAGGGTCATAAAAAATGTTGGGATTATTCTTCACATTATCTGTGATAAAGTATTTGGGGAATCAACTGATCTTGAAATAGAAATTATTAAAAGATAGAATAATAATAATAATAGAATAATAATAGAATAATAGAAGTTATTAAAAAGAAACAACGTGCTATGAAAGATCCATCAGCATTCACTACAACGCATAAAGAAATAAGTTTACTTTTTCCAGAATTCTTACATGGACCTCATTTTATTGTAGTACCTGTATCTTTACACACTTGCCTTGAGACTATACTTACTTCAGGTCTTTTCTGTTGTGCCCAGCCCTGCCTGAAGTGAAACAGAAAACAAAACATGAATCAAAGATGGAATATTACCCATTCATTTGGTGTGCATTAGGCTATATTTTCTATTAAGACATAAACTTTTAGTAAATTCTGTAGTCCCATATATCTGTAGAATCAATTCTTTCTCCTCAGATAAATATCCAAAATACAAATTTTCAGCCCTATTCTGGGATGGTACACTAATTCTTAGCCAATCATGACTATGTTAGCAGCAAAATTCTGAATACTTTATCATATGATTAGAGTTTTAAACAAGTTTCTACACTGATAAAACATCAGACCTCAAGTCTCAGACTCATTTATAGTACTCCACAACACTGAGGTGGTGAGGCATTTGCTCAGGCTGCCCAGGGAATCTATAGATGCCCCACTGGAAGGTGTTCAAGGCCAGGCTGGGTGGGGTCCTGGGCAGCCTGGTCTAGTGGGTGGCAGCACTGTCCATGGCAGAGGAGGTAGAACTAAATGTTCTTTAATGTCCCTTCCAACCCAAGCCACTTTGTGATTCAATGATTCTGTGATGGCTGGAACACATGACAAACCTTCAAGCCCTTGGTTCTTTGACAAATTTTCTTATCTGATTAGCAGATCTCAATTACTTCCTCATTTTGTTTTAAAATGAGTCACACTATTCAGCCTATGTTATCTAGACAGTTAGCAATTTTTTGCTGTAGGATGCTGTTTGCTATGGGTTATGCAAGCTCATAATAGGAGGGTAAGCCTTTCTCTTCCTAATATTCCATGCGAAATATCTTTGGGGTTCATGAAACAATGTTTCTTAGAGCAAGACCTTGATCTGGTGGTTAAAATATGGATCATATGTTTCTTTATGCCAGTAGAAAAGGAGCCTTTCCATGTGTAATGGCTATTTGAGATAGGACTTGAGAGACAGTTCTTACGACATTTACACTTTTCTGAAGAAACAAGACATTCCATGCATACTGTTAAAACAAAACTTTGACGTGTGCAGATACTACTGGTATGCAGTAGCAGTAAATCATATCATCCTACATTGCTTGTCCGCATTTTTGTTGAATTTCATTTATATTATCATTAAATTAAATGAAATCTTACTTTACAGGGATTGGCTTCCTTAGAGGAGATGGATTTCCTCTTTCATATCTATCACTTGGTGGTACAGGAGGTTTTGGCATCATTGCTAGCTGTTCTCCCAGTGCTCTAAAGCAGGAGCAAGATGATGAAATAAAGGCAAAAATTTGGTTAATATGAAAAAATTGACTAATATTGGCATTAACATTCTCATGTCAGAGAGGCAAAACTCCTTACCTTAGCTGTGGAGTCAGAAGCTGTGAAACAACAAGAAATAGTTAAGAGTTAAGAGCTAAGGATATCAAAACAGGTTAAAAGCGTGTAAGTGCCAAATTACAAAGAACTCACCTTTTCAGGATGGCCTGGCTTCTTCCCTGGAAATAGTAAAAGATGTTTAGAAAAAATGTAACTGCAGATAAATAAACTTTCTATGAAAAAAAAAAAGTTTTGAATATTATCGATAGCAGTGTTTCGCAAATTGAAGCACTAGGACTCCTCAGATGTAAGCCAATAAGGGATTTGGGTTTTATAAGCAGTGCAAGAATTGCAATATCTCTTATTAAAGGAAAAATGATTAATTTTCAAAATGACACATTTTACAAAAATACGTTCTGTGATCCAGCTTTGAATTACTGAATACTTCTATACTGACATGCACCAAATAGATAATAAATATAAATCATAAAGTAGTCAGTTTATATTCTTTGTAAAGTACAGCATCAAGGTCTGAAACAATTACCCTTCTTCCTTTCTTTCTGTGTTTTTTAAGTTCTCAGCATTCTTTTCAGTCTGGGTAACAAACTACATATAGTACTACGTAGAGATTTTTGTTAACTTTGTTTGCAAAGTTGTTCCCTCTTTTAACCTGCTAAATTTTCCTGTGATCATTCACTTAATTTATTTTATTGCATTTTTGTGCAGGAATCTCGTAATGTCTTTCTGATCAACCAGTGCTGATCTGCTATGTAAGTACAGCTCACATTATTTATTCCAAAACAGATCACCTTGTGCATAACTGAGTTAAAGTACATTTTGTTGAGCCTTGACCTTTTGCATGAATTCTGTTTGATCTGATAATTTTGAATATTGTTATTTGTATTAATATTCAAGCCACTGATATGACCACGAGCAAATACTGACCTGGTACTGGGCTTTCTCTTTCAAATGGTGGAGCAAGGCGATCCAGTGGGGGTTTTGTGCTTCTGTCTATAGAAGGAGCTGGGGCTAAACACAGTAACTATGTAAGGCAATGTGCTGATACAGATCAGTATAACTTTATTTTGCATAGCCATGAATTGATTTTACTTCTGAGAATAACAAAGGGGTCTTCTGAGTAAATAGTATTAGAAAATGAAGCTGAGGAGTTACAAAGTTAGGCAAAATTGAAGCGCTGTGCAGCCCATTGACAAAGAAAGCAACAGCTGTACTTACGTTTTGAAGGCTTGACATGCCTGTCATTGTTGCTTGGTAGAGGAGGGAAAGCTGGCAGCTAAAACAAACATTTTAGACATGGTTAAAACCTGCCCTCACTTTTCTCTTTTAATTTTAATGTATTGAACACACCACACTGTATCTGACAGTCTTGGTGTCTGGCAAAGTGCGAAGAATTGGTCTCTGCCCAATACAGGATGGATAGGAGTCATTAATGCTTCTGAAGAATGACCTGCATACGTGGTTCTTTGGCTCATAAAGAATTCCCTCTGTATCATAAGGAATATTGTAGTGGGATATTCTGTTTGGGGAGGACATTCTGTTTGGAAAGAGCCAGTAGTTTCAAGAGTGCTGCTGTGGCTTTGTCTCTTCAGTGCAGCAGTGATAGTTTTGAAATCTGGTGTTGAAATTAGTGGAGCAAATTGAAAGCTGAGAAAGATGCACTAACACTGTTCTAGTGCTAGTTGCTGAGTGAGGCAGTGGGAAAAAGGACTGTTCTTTCTTATTGTGAGAGCTGGGTCAAACAATGGGTTATCAGAAGCTGCAAAAAAAGGGTGAGACTGTTTTGACATCTAAATCTGTATTTCTTCAGACAAATGTCTTTCTGTGTTCTTTCTTACTCCAATAAATAGTGCAACAATCTAGGGCACAGTTATGATAACTTACATTTCAAAGAGTGCTGTTTTTTATATATGTGAACTATGGAAATGGGTCAGATCAAAGGTCCCTCTACCACATCCTAAAATTACCTTCACGGGGGTAGGTCTTATGTACAGCTCTGCAGGCATATGCTGAACTGACATTGCAACTTGTAAGCATTACATAGCTTTCAATTTCAAAGATTTCAAAGGATAAAAAAATGGGGGAAAAAAAAGCTTGTCACCAGGGATAAAAAAAAGCATGTCATCAATTCTTTACAGTCCCTTTTTTGTAGTCTTTGTTCATTTGAAAAAAATATTTCATATGCGAGTATTGTTAAAGAAACAAAGTGAGATCTATTAAGAATCTATCATTAGAATTCACAAGTTGATACAAATTTCCAATGTCAAAGAATTTAATATTCAACCCTCTACGTTGTATTGTTCCATGAAAAAAAACCCACCCTGTAGGAGTTCAAATATTTTGACACCAAAAAACTTTCTTTTTCCTCTACGTGTACTATTTGAATAGCAATAATTTTACACTTGGATTTCCATTTAGGTACTGACAAGTCTTTTGCTCTGAAATATCAAGAGAGAAACATACAGAAGCACCTCTTCCCCCAAATGAGGCTGGTGCTGGGGATGGGCCTGGCCGCTGGGGTGGTACTGGAGGCTGATGTGATGATCTGGCTGTTGGAGGCCTGTCTAAAGAAAAGAAAAATCCCAAGCTAAACAACGATATGAACAGTTTTGTTATTTTATTCTCATTAGATCTTTATGAAAAAAGAGCCCTTGCAATATGCTGCATACTTAACCTGACATATCATACAGACATTATGTTAGTGCTTAACGGGCAGGTGCTTTATGATCAGCGTTTTTTGGGAGCTAGAGGTTCACCTGTCCCTTTGGTGGTGGGACTGCACCTGCCTTATTTATTGGCTCACGTGTTTCTTTTTGTTCTGTGCAGCACGGTGTTTGCCTGAAGCACAGCCAGTCTAACTGGCAGTGTTTTGTATTCTCATACTTGACCCAAACTGCAAGCTACTGAAGAATCAGACACACCAAAAAAATGACAAGCTGAAGAAGCTGATCTCTTCCCCATTTTCACTAATATTTTGCTGCTATTATGACAACTCATTCTGATCAAGGAACAACTGCTAAAGCTAAAATAGTGTGTAATTTTTTTTACTATATGCAGATTCCAAACCACAAGCCAAATTGTGCACACATCACATGAAACTTATCTTCAATCCAGCAGAGCTTGTCTGAAGTAGAACATTTAGCTTTAAAAGTTACAAAGATACCAACTTGCAATGTCTGTGCCACTTTGAGATAAAGCCTTCTATATTCCATTACCGCCATGTAAATGTACTTGAAAATAATATGAAAACATTACTTATGATTTATTTTCAGTAATTACCTATATAGTCTGTGTTGTTTGCAAGTGACTTTGCAGGAAATATGACATTGTGGTGTGCTTCATCGTTATTGGATGGAGGTGGCTCATAGCCATCACTGTCATGCTCTGCTTCCTCAGTTTCTTCCGTTGGTGATTCATAGTCAGCCTCATCTTCCTTTTCCTGGTCATCATCAGGGCTTTCATAGTCATCATCTTCATCCTGACCAACGTACATAAAAGATGAGTGCTATAACAGGTTACTGTTTCTGCAGTATTCTTGGGGCTTTTCAGTACAGTATTTTTCAACCTGGAATATATCAAGTCTTTAAAACCATTTTGAATGTCTGTTTTTAGATAACACACAAGGTATCAGCAGACAATTTGGAGCTTCCTGAAAGAACACAGGAGCAGCAGTTGAAAGAGCAGTTGAAACTCATTCTTACTTAATAGTACGTATTCTACAGACTGAAACTTGACTTTAAAAACACTTCTGAAAAAAAAATAAAAGAGGTTTGTGATACAGGTCTTGATTGATACTCTAACCAAAACAAAAACAGACATATACTACTAGTATCTTACTGGTCCTAAAACGATCACAGTGTAAGCATGGTGGTGGTCACTGCACACATTTCCTGTGCCGTGACTTAAAGAAAAAGTATTTTTATTTTTTCACTGATGCCTTAGCTGGAAGTTCCAGACTAGCTCATACAGGCCTGCATTACAGGCAGTTACTTTCATCTTGTATGCTCCTGAAATAGCAGCAAACCTCCTGCAAATGCATTAACAAGTGTTTTTTAAGAATCTCTCTCCAGTGGTTTTTTCCAAAATACACTGACAGTGGTCAGTGAGAGGTCTTCATAGGCATGGACTGTAGATCAGTCAGTTCATTCATTTTGCTAGCTAGGTTGTGTTTGCCTCATCTAATAAAGTTTACTAGTGCATTTTCTATGCTGAAAGACAGAAAGCATTATTTGCAGTCTATCTGGCTTCAAAAAATTAATCAGATTTTTCAAAAAGTAAGTTTTACAGAAGAACAGAATGGCAAGATTTTGCCATTGAATAACACAGCAACCTTTCCTTTACTAACCATTTCTTTTGGGAGCTTGAAATAGGAATATAAACTTTATCTGGTCACAATTTGTACTTGAACCAGTGGTACAAATCTGCTGTTGTGAAGCCCTGCTTTGTATAACTGGGCAAAAGCCCTTTTCTCCGTGAAATTTGCATGCATCTACTCCAATCATTTATGCTTCTCTTTTTCCATAGTCTAACACCCCATGCCATTGACCAATCCATCCATACTGTCTAAAGTAGGTAATGCAAGAGAAGATAGAGATTACAAAAAAGTTGTGCCATGATATTATTGACCCAGTATGTTAGGTTAATCCTCATACTCACAAATGAAGACCAGCCATCATCTTCTTGACTGTATCCTGCATAAGGAAGTCAAAGCACAGTAAAATTTGAAAATGTCAAGACAAAAAGGACAAAAAGCCATTCAAATCCATTCTGAACCACAATACCAGAGTTCCTATCACAACAGGAGCAAGAAGGAGCGGGCCTGTCAAAGGCAGGCAGACTGGCATCCATACGTAGCTCATGGAAGATACTACAAATAACATTCTTATTCAAAATTAAGAGTAAAGCTTTCCTTATATGAGATTATATATTCTGTCTCATCTAGTTTGTCCTGTTCTTCATGCTTCAAATATCATTTGAAATAGAATGCTTTCAGAATAAGCACCGCCTTTCTATCTCTTAAAAATTATGATAGCATTCAAATCTAAAGTTATTTTAATCTCAGTAGAACTAAGGGAGCATGGTAGATGCAGAAGATTTAAGTGCTCTTTGCCTATTAGGAAAATAATTAAAAATTCAGAGCCTGGCAGACATCTGGATGCTTGGTTTCTAGTAGGATGCTGCTAGGAGTGGGAGCATGGAGCACAAATATGTATAAGCACTGATACCATATGTGGGGTTAACAAAAGGCAGTTTGGGAATGTTCATGTGAATTTTTCTACTCTTGCCTTTCCTCTCTGTTGTTTCTCTATTAAAAAAAATATTTTCTTACTAGTTTTCTCATTACTACAATTGGTGAAGCATGCAACGTTTTGCTACTATATGTGCTCTTTTTTTTCTTTCCTTTTATGTCTTTTTTGCTTTGCCTTGTCTCACTTATTGTACTCTACAAAAAATAAAATAGGTTTTTAACGTTTTTAAACGCTATTTGTATTTAGAGACTGCCAGTAAATGCTTACCTGAATTTTCAGGACACTTTTGTGTTTGGCCCCTATAACAAAGATATCAACAAATAAATTCCTTCCAATTGCAAATTTTTAAAAATTTTATGTACACTAAAATCTAATACACTAAATCTAGTACACTGAATTGCTAATGAAGCTAACGTTTAGCTTTAAAAGTAAAATGAAGTCTGTCTAAGTTACTTTAACTTTACACAAAATACCATAAACACACTACTTTATATTTCACATAC